GGTCAAGTTCCACTAAACAAATCGTACACCCTATATGTTCAGAGTTCGAGCAAGAAAATGGCTTCAGAGTTGAGATATGAATAAAGAAGAAGACGGTTAAATTTTCACTTGGTCGATTAAGCGATCGTATGTGATGGGCAAAATCAATATCTGCTCAGGTGCATGATCGCTTAAGCGATCCGTGATTTTGCTTAAGCGATTCTTCTCTTTTTCACTTGGTCAATTAAGCGATCGTAGCGATCATGTGATTGGCAGAATCAATATCTGCCCAGGTGCATGATCGCTTAAGCGGTCCGTGATTTAGCTTAAGCGGTCCGTGATTTAGCTTAAGCGATTCTTCTCTTTTTCACTTGGTCAATTAAGCGATCGTAGATCGCTTAAGCGATCATGTGATGGGCAGAATCAATATCTGCCCAGGTGGACGATCGCCTAAACGATCTGTGATATCTTAGGCAATACATACTTTTCCATCTTTTCTCCTGATTTTTGACAAACTAAAATTACCAACACATATTAATTCTATACTTTCTCTTCAATTTGACAACCTAATTCCAAACTAAAATCACCAACCAACACATATTTAGGCTGTGTAACAAGAATACTAAATACAAAGAATTATTTATTCAAGGTAACAATAAAATTGAAAACATTAATAATTGAAAACAATAACTCATCAACGGTTGGCCTTGGCAACTCCCTGAATTTCATCCTTCTTCAAACCTAATTTTCAGGATCTGCATGTGATTACTTTTGGCAACTGCTTCTCTTGTGGCCAGATTGCTTACAAATTGAGCATTTATTCATCTTTCGAGGAGCCTCATAGGCTAATGAAATACGCTTAACTCTTTTTCTCCCCTTTGCTGTCTTCTTGAATGGCGGATGGATGATAATGTCAGCCAACTCTGGCGGCACTACCCACTGCTCTTCTGGAGGCACTGGATATATCATTTTTGACTAAGCTAGCATGTAGTGATTTGCCATATTCAGAGGGGAGCAAAGTTCCATATAAATCTTTGAACCAAAATTCAGCTTCCGTTGGTGTTTCAGTGCTACTGGTGCATGAGGACAAGGTAAACATTGAATGTCAAGCACTTTACAGCTACAAGTTTTACTAACAAGGTTAAATAGGGCATCCGAACCATAGCCGCACATAGTGAACTCTTGAGAATTAAGAGGATAGGCAAACAGTGCATTTGACAGTTCCATACGTTCTCGCAATAATTTTTCAGCTAACGGAACAAGGGTTGTAGTAAAATTATCTGACTTCGTACGATGCTCATGGAACCATCGTGACAATGTCCTCTAGATTGCATCAAAAAGTGCAACTATTGGAAACTCTCTTTCTATTAGCAACTTCGAATTTATGGACTCGGCTATGTTCGTGGTCATGACATTAAACCTTCTTCCAGGAAAGTAAGCTCTAATCCATCGCTCGAAACCAACATCATGCTCAAGATACTTAGCAACTCTATCATCCTTGATTTTGATTTGCTGGAAGTGCTCCTCGAACTCATCAACCCGATAAGCTTTTACTGCCATGTAGTATGTCTGAAGGAGGTCAGCACACTTAAACTTTTGTTTTATGTTCTCACCAAGGTGCCTCATACAGAATCCGTGATATGCTTGAGGGTAAATAGTGGCAATCCACTTCTTTATAGAGTTGTGCCTATAAGATATTATGCACAACTCGTCACTGTCAGGCACTATCATACGTAATTGCTGAAAAAACCAAGTCCATGACTTGTCATTCTTAGAGTCAACCACACACCATGCAAGAGGATATGTGTGATTCTCGTTGTCCTGTGCAATAGCCACCAACAATGTACCTCCATACTTTCCCGTCCAAAAGCAACCATCAACAGTCAACACCTTTCTCATGTTTACAAAACCGTTTATAGCAGAACCGTAAGCAACAAAAAAATATTTAAATATCATATTCTTATCCCACTTCAAAGCCGTTTTGCTACCTTCGTTTGTCAACTCAAGCATATAACGGTACGCTTCTAATACTGCGTACCCGTGCTCCAGCGTGCCCCTCACAAAATCTTGTGCACGTTGTCTCCCTTTCCAGCATTTCCAGTAACTAACAACACATCCCAACTCTGTGCGTACAAGTCTCTGAATTTCTTTAGGAGATGGACATTTCCCTTCAACGAACTGACTTTTGACAAATTGTCCAATAACATCAACGGAGGCTTGTCGATGCTCACCTAAAATATGTCCCAAACCACATGTGTGCTCATGGGTATATGTGCTAAGAATAAATTTTTTGGACTTCGCCAACCTTCTACAATAAACCCGCCACTTGCACTTTCGGTCACGACATGCAACCGTCATCACCAATGAATTTGACTTTTTGGTCATGAACTCAAAATTACCTCTCACCGTAACAAGTTTTAGCTTCCTCACCACTTCCTCTTTGTTGTCAAATAAATACCCTATGTGCAACTCCGATCCATCCGTAAAAACATGAGCTGATTCACTACTACCTGCAATTGCCCCCTCTAAACCTGCATAAACGACCATAGTGTTCTCTTCCTCATAAACTACACCTTCTGCATAATTTTTATTTAAAGGAATCTCTACATCTGCGGGAACATGTACGTGGTCCTCCTCCTCAACATTTTCATTCTGCCGCCCATGACCAACCTCTTCTACAGTGTCCTCCTCACCACCCAATTCACCATCTACTCTTGATATTTCAACTAACAAATCAATGCCCTCATAATTCAAATTAAAACCAGGCAAATCTCCGCCAACTTCCTCGTTATCCCCTTCCTTTGAACCAACTTCCAACGGTTTTCCTACAAAAGAAACCCTTAAAATCGGCCTCGAACCATTATCGGCCACATCAATCATTTATAACTTCACACTTTCATCCGACTTTAATATAGCAGGAGGTACCTTATAGTGTTCAGGAACTCTGCTTAAAACATACTTCACAACTATATCACTACATGAGCAACTCAAATCACCTCTTCTAATTATTTCATCAATCAACTCATCAAAACTAACCCCTGTGCTCACAGCAATTGGTATAACTTCTTTACTCTTCCCAATCCACTTCCACCTACTTTCTTCCTCCACCCACTCACCAAAATATTTAACACCCAAAACAACTTGTCCCATGTCTAATAATAGCCAACGACCTATAATGCAAGAAAAAAAATATTCTTAACTGATGTACTAAGGGTTGAAATATTTTAAAAATCATCTCCACAGTCGCTTAACAGATCTGCTGTATCGCTTAAGCGATCTGGTATATCGTTTACTGGAATGGATCGCTTAAGTGATCCAGTGTAAATAAGCATGATCGCTTAAGCGATCCAGTGTAAATAGGCATGATCGTTTAAGCGATCTGCTGCTATACACCAGACTTTTAGCAGATCGCTTAAGCGATCTTATGCCACATACCTGATCACTTAAATGATATATCTGCTGCATTACTAGACGTACCTGATCGCTTAAGCGATACACCATATCGCTTAAGCGATTCATCATATCTAGAACACGTTTTCAGTCATCTCCACCTACAATCGGTGCTACCATCCCCAGCTACCCACAATGCAAGAAAATTTTCAACAAATTCCACTCTTTTCAACTTCCATTACATCAAACACAACCCAACAACCTAAACAACTAAATCAAAATCATAACCCAAACCCAATCCATCACTAAATCTTTGTAAATCGAAAGGGAAGATACACATATTTAAACGAAATTTCAACAGGAGGAGGAGGAGGATCTATGTTAGAGAAGATGTTAATGGCGGAGGAATGCGTTAATGTGGCGGGAGGAAGAAGAAGAAGGTGTTTGGGTTTGTTTGCAAGATTTTCGACTCTTTGGAGACTTATTATAATTTTTAAAAGATTACACAATTATTCATTAATCCTAATTAACCCCTTAATCATGCTTAATTAAGCTTAATAAAAAACAAGGTCATTCAGTTAAAATTTACAAACTCTATAGTCTTTTAATTAAATTTTTAGTTAAAATGGTCTTTTAATAAAATGTCCCCATAGTTCTTGATCTCCTTGAAAGCCTTGGTCATTGGACAATGAAGTTGATGAGATTCTTATTTGAAGAAAGAAACTTCAGGGGAAGAACAGTTATCCTGAAGACCAAGAGCTCTTTATTTTCTCTCATTAAGGTCAATTGAAATTTTTAAAGAATAAACCCATTTAAAGCTCAACAATATAGCTACTTTATATATTAAGCTTTATCGAATATATTGGGTGCGCTAGACAAGGCATGCTAAATGGAGTGGTTTAGCACTGTAGACACCATTGTTAAACGTGTAAAATACACAAAAATATGGGTAATGCCGTAATGGGTCACCACAAACAGAAAAGCTTGCTTTTGGATTTGGAACCTCGAGTGTCGCCCTCGCCCATGCTTTGCAAATATATATATATATTTTTTTAAATTCTTTATATATGGTTTATTTTCATTTTATTTTATAAAATAGATTAATACGAACACATTAACGTTATTAAAAATAATTACATTCTTTTAGAATTTAAAAAAAAAACCCTTAAAACATATAAATTGTAAAAAATATATATGTAAAAACCCTGTAAAAATATTTTTATAAAATCTTTTATTAGATATATAATATCTTTTGGAAACTGTTACCCTCGTAATTTCTTCTTATAATTTTGACGTGACAGTTCATAATTGATAAGTTTATAATGGCTACTGCTTGGGTTTTATCTAATAAATTGTGGTTGATTAATTATGAATTATCACTTGAAATCATGAGAAAAAATTTATGAGAAAAAATTTATAAGAAGAGTTTGTGGGTATAAAATTAGTGACATCTTTTTTCAATTTCAGTATGACTACAATTACACATATAAACAAGAATTTTGAAATGAGTGATTTTTGTTTTTTTTGAAAGGAAAGAAAACAAGAGGTCAAACATTGGGGACCTAACAGAGTTATTAAGTGCAAAGCATGTAATGAGAGATTACAAAATCAGCTTGTCTGAATGTGCATGCAAAAGCACACTCAGACTCAGCCATGGTAGTTTCCTCTGCTAAGTCAAAGAATAACAACAGTAACAACCAGAAGAAAACTCGTACCAGCTCAAAGAATAATAATACTAAAAGTGGAGCTCAGACTCGGCGCAGCAAGTCCCCTGGAGTTCGACTCATTGGACGCCGAATCTACGATTCCCAGAATGGAAAAACTTGTCATCAGGTTTAACTCATTCTCATTTCCAATATAAGTTCTTTTTTTGTTTTCATTTTTCGTTTCCTCTTTACTGTTACTAATTCGTTAGCCAGTTATTTTCAGATGGAACCCAGAAATTTTTTTTGGTTTTGTTTTATGTTCTTTAACTACATTGTGTCTTTGGTTGGTGAGAAAGATGAAATGTGATGGAAATTTTTTTACTTTTGAGTTTCATTCTCGTCTTTTGATGATTAGAAGTAAAACCCACCAAGTTCTTTGTCCTCTGTTTTGATTGCTGAGAGAAAATGAGGAAAACTATGGTTTTGATTTTATTGACTGAAAGGTGGGTGCTTTTCATTTCACAACTGTTAAATGTTCGTTTTTCTTTTCGTCGCATATTCTATTTGGTTGTTGAGGAAATGAGGAAACAAGTAGAAAAGAAACTTTCTGAGGTTTATGTTATATGATTTGCACATGCGTACAGCCCTTTAGTATAGATGATGTGGTACATATGCCCCTTATAAGACTATCTTGTTGGTTTGATGTTTAGACTTTGAAATGAAGCGCATTTAGTGATAGTGATTAAATGAGGTTTATTTGGGGTTCTGTAGAGGGCTTTTTTCTCTATGAAACTGTTTGTTCTTTAACTTTTACTTTTCTTGAGACTCAAATGATAAAAAGAATCATTTAATTTCTTTGACCTGCGTTTCATGGCAACTCAATGGGACAGTAGCATTTCTAGTTGTTTGTAAGCTGATCAACTCTTCTAACAGGAATCTGCTAAATCTGGGGCCAAAATATGCGGAGAGGTGGATGGTTTTCAAAGACCAAGAAATTCAAAGGTGCACCTGAAGCCTTCGGAACTACATGGTGCAGGGGTAGAAACTAGAAGTAGTAAGGTGAAAAGGTTAAGAGACAACAACAGAAATGAAAATGCATCTGGAGACAACAAGGATGCTGAAGTGAAGCTTTCGGATATACAGGATGTGGGGGTAAAAACTAGAAGTAGTAAGCTGAAAAGATTAAGATACAATAACGGAAATGAAAATGTAACTGCAGACAAGAAGGATGCTCAAGTGAAGATTTTGGAAATATGGGGTGCAGGGTTAAAAACTAGAAGTAGTAAGTTGAAAAGATTAAGAGACAGTAATGGAAATGAAAATGTATCTGGAGACGACAAGGATGCTCAAGTGAAGCTTTCGAATATACAGGGTGCAGAGGTAAAAACTAGAAGTGGTAAGATGATTAGATTAAGAAGCAATAATGGAAATGAGAATGTGTCTGCAGACAAGAAGGATGTTCAAGTGAAGCTTTCAGAAATACAGGGTGCAGGGGAAAAAACTAGAAGTAGGGAGTTGAAAAGATTAAGAGATAGTAACGGAAATGAAAATGTATCTAGAGATAACAAGGATGCTCAAGTGAAGCTTTCGGATACACTGGGTGCAGGGGTAAAAACTAGAAATAGTAAGTTGAAAAGATTAAGAGACAATAATGGAAATGAAAATGTATCTGGAGACAAGGATACTCAAGTTAAGCTTTTGGAAATACAGGTTGCTGGGGTAAAAACTAGAAGTAGTAAGTTGAAAAGATTAAGAGACAGTAATGGAAATGAAAATGTATCTGGAGACAACAAGGATGTTCAAGTGGAGCTTTCGGAAATACTGGGTGCAGGGGTGAAGACTAGAAGTAGAAAGCTGAAAACATTACAAGACGGTAATTGGAATGTAAATGTATCTGTATACAGCAAGGATGCTCAAGTGAAGCTTTCAGAAATGCAGGGTGCAGGAGTAAAAACTAGGAGGAGTAAGTTGAAAAGATTAAGAGACAACAAAGATGCTGATTCAGTTGCCCAGAAGAGCAGTCCTAAAAGTCATCAGAGATCTAAAGGGATAGAAAGTGATTCTCCAAGACCAAGTAATTCGATGGGACAAGCAAAGTACTCAAAAATAGAAGGCACAGGGATAGAAATTAGAAGTAGTAAGTTTAAAAGATTAAGAGACAACAAAGGAGGTGAAAATGTGTCGGGAGAGAAAAATGATGCTACTTCCAATACCGAGAAAAGTAATACTAAAAGACGTCAGAATCCCAAAGGAGCATCTAGGGGAAAAGAAGAGATTTTCCACAGGGATCATGGTGGTCGGTTAATCAGAATGAATTCTGATATGAAAACTCCAGAAAAAGATTTTCAAGATTCTATCAATTACCATAGTGAAACTGAACTGAACAATTTGGATATTGATGATACTGTAGCAGAAAATAAGCCACTTACAGGGTCAGACGGTCATGAGAAGAAGAATATTGTGGAAGTGAAGAGGAAATTTTCCAACAAGGAAATCTCGTTGCCCTGTGGTATTATATTAAATAATGTAGCTTCAGTTGACATACCTGCTGAGGATGTTGGACATGCCTTTCAGTTCCTAGAATTTTGTCAAGCTTTTGGACAGGTAATATGACAAAGATTAAATTTGTATTAAATTACTATTGAGGTAGAAAGGCCTTGGCAGCTTGGCAAATGTGAATGCTGTAATTAGCTTTTAATTCTTTGTGCTTGCCATGTCAAAGTTGTGTATATTGTTGATGAAATTTTTTTGGCAGTAATAGTAGTATACTCAAGCTGTTTATTTATATGATCATCTTCCTTTTCTTAACCGTACTACTTGAATTCATGACTAGTGAAACTTGGCTTCTATTTTCTGGTTATATGGTTAAGTACCATTTTTCAATACCATTAGCTTATTTAAGAGATTCTACTGTTATTTAAGAGTCAAGTATCGGATCATATCTCCTGTGTCATATATTTTAATATTTTCAAGGACTTTAATTCAGTATAGCTGCATATGCTTGTGTTGCTCCATTCTTTTTATTGAGTGGGGCATATTTTTCTTCCTTCTCATTTATGTATAAAAGCTAGAAACAGTAGAGCTTTACCTATTGAATTGTGCATGTCATCTTCTAAGATGATTTTTTATATCTAGATTCTTAATCTGGGAAAAGGGCGGTCTGAACTGCTCCTCCGAGAATTAGTTTGTGGAAGAAGTAAGCGTCGGGTATGCAGTTCTCCAATTGCTCAGTTCCACATTCAGCTTCTGTCTCTGATACAAAAGAATTCTGGAAAAGGGTATGAATATTGTTTTAACTTCTTATTCAATTCCTTTTTGGTCTCTTTCAAATTGATTGACCATCAACACACAATTTTTTTTTGCAGATATCCTTACTTTCACTCACTAAGTGAAAATTCTTGGGTGCAAGTGCTTTTTAGATATGTATCTGAGTCTCATTTTTCCTTTAAGGAACTACAAGTGGATTGCTTTGAAGTGGCTGATTATGATCAATTAGATATCTCTAAGAAGCTGAAACTTTTAAATTTTCTCTGTGATGAAGCTCTCGGCACAACGTAAGTCATGATATGCTTCTACACATCCTTTTCATATTTATCTCTCTCCTTTATTGTATATTATATAATAATGAGTGAATTGATTCAAAACTTTTCCCTGCAGAGATTTTAGAAGTTGGATTGATGGACGAAATTCAAAATTTGTTCAAAGAGAGAAGAAACTGAAAGAAAAAGTTCTTGGTGAAGAGGAAAAGGTAATCTCGTTTCTTAAGAAGTACTCCTGTGAGCATCTGCTTAAATATTATGTCTCAATCTGCCTGTTCTGAACAAAATGTTTTCATAGATGAAAAATATGAAGAAGAATAAGAAGCTGCAGGACAAAATAGCCAAAGCTTGTCTCGTGAAAAATGGTGCTCCTCTTTCGATATCTGAGCACGCGGATCTTGTTTCAAAAATAAAGTTGAAAGCAGCTCAAACTCTATCAAGAACAGTGGAAGCATCGGAGGCAATGGTCAATGGTATGTTCTGGAGGCTTGACATACTGAAAATTTTGATTCCATAATAATAGTAGGTTTTATGATATACTGGTTGTGATTAAACTAATATGTAAGTCTACCCATTTGCAAGATTGAATTTATTGAGTGAGAATTTTGATGTCTCAGTATTCGCTTATTTAAATTTTGGATGCAAGCATGACATTTTACTTTCAAATAGTGTCCAAAGAGGAGTTGAGATCAGATGCTCTTAGGTTGGAGCCTATGTTTCTGGATGGACATGGTCACAAATTTTGGAGACTGAGATGCTACTCCGCCGAGATGAAAATTCTTCTTCAAGGTACATCCTCACTTCTTGATCCAAAATTCAGAGGTTTTCACTTTAACAGGAAGTTTTGCCTTAATTTTTCTCCTCGAAGATGTAGAGATTGAAACGGGGGATCAGGTTGTGGCTAAGGAAAGATGGTATACCTATGATGTTGAACAGAAAGCTCTGGTTGAGAAATATGTTTCTTCCTTCAGGTATAAACAATATTTTGTGTTAAGTTGATTGACAGATTTGCATCTTTCTTATATTTGCACATCCCTTGTCATTTGATTGCAGAGACATCGGAAAATGATTAACAAATCCATATATCCCTTGTATATATTGATGCTCCTCTCTATGAACTCATCTTATTTTGGAGAGCAACTGCTGGCTAATTTCTGATGGATAAATTCTTGTCCATTCTTTTGGTTCTGCCTCTTGTTGTACCTTCTTGAAGGGGTACTTCTTGTAATGTTGGTCACTTACAAGATCAAGAACCTCAGGTTTCTTGATGTTGAAACAGATGTATATATGAAGACTTTCTATATTTGAATCACTCTTTAACAGTGCCAAGTTGCAAGAGTCATTTCATCATGATACTGGTACTTTTTCTTTATAATCATCTTATGAATGTCTCTAGTTTACTAGATTAATTGTACACGAAAATGCTGGACATCAATGTACTAGTTCACTTTTTAATCCATATTGTCATGAACTTAAATGAACCATGTGACTAAAAACAATACAGGAGGTGTCGAAAAGAGATATTTGCCTTGGAAGAAGTTTGGATTTAAGACTTATAACAAGGTTGAGTTATTTATGAAATTAATTGGTTGGGTCCGTAATTTGAAATGGGACCAGTTGGTGAGTATTAGATACGATGGAATATAAAATTGTTGATCTATGAGTTTTTTGGTAGTTTGGAAGTTGTGAGACTTACTGATGAGTTCCGAGCATATACAATGTTTTTTAGATTACAGAATCAGAACTTTGTAGTGAAAACACAAGATATAGCAACCTAGATGAAATTTGATTTGAAGGTGGGATAACGTATCTCGAACGTAGGATTCCAACAACAGCTGGATGTTTTTCTGGATTAGGGATTTACCATCCACATAGTTATAAATCTACAAAGTTAAAGAATTTTGCTATGAAAGTATTTCACAATATCTGACTATACATTTAATAGCAGAAAAGAGACAAATGGAAATGTGATGTTAAGAATTTATTGTTCATGGAAGCAGCAGTAGCAGGAGGCAAGTAAATTCTCAAAGTTATTGATTAAGAAGTTGGGAGAGATTCAAGCAGAAAAATGAGAAATATATTGGGGGATGCTTGTTACGTAATATGTGAGAAGTTGGGTATTCATACACCCTTAATGATAAGCATAAGATTAAGTTTTCTGCAAATATTTGTTGGGGGATGTGGACATTGGTAAAACGGGTTTGATTAAAAGAATATGGCAGGAGAATGGTTTGTGATTAGGATGAAATAGAGGGAGATGTACAGTTCAGGAAGGTGTTAGTGTTCTAGAAGGGGTAAATGAAGGACAATTCTATGTGCGCAAAGAAGAGAACGATTATTGAACTTGGATCATCTCAGAATGTAAGATATGTTTTCTCATATTTTAAGACGAGATAGTAACATATTTGAGGGGAGGAAAAGTTTCAAGAGGAGCGTTTTTCACGTATTGAAGAAAATCAGGAACACATGATTAGGTGCAAAGTCATTTCAACTCGTTCGCATCAAGAGTAGAAGAAACGGTTGACATTCTTGGGAATGCTGACATAAATTTTCAGCATGATGAAAAACTCTCAACACCTTCCTCCTCTGTCAACCTCCACCCCTTACACCATGATGAAGATTCTCAACAACCTCCTCCTTCTCAACATTCTTGGGGAACACACTATGAATGTAATGTCATTATGTGTAGTTCAAATACTAAGCTTTATGTACAAAAAATATATTTGCCTTTTGTTTATGATATGTTAGTTAAGATGGATTTCAGCGGATATTCTTATAAAGATTGCCTTTTGTTTAAATGTATTTGCCTTTTGTTATACATACCTCAACTACTTTTTTGAATGCATATCTATATGTAATACTAGACAATCAAAAGACATAAAAATCAATCTCAAAAGACATCAAAATCAAATCTCAAATGACATGCATATCCAATTCATCTAACACCAGTTAACAAAAAGTTTACAATGACGATAATATATACTAAAAACATTCATATAAGTTACATTAAGGTCATTATCATGATTCACAACCCTACAGCAGATAGTCTACTCATACACAATCAATGACCAAAATATTAAAACGAAACAATTGAACATCGCATACTAACTACATTCGTCAGAAATTACCAAAGTGTGAATAATTTCTACAAATACAATTATATATGCTTCACCTGTCAATAATATCAAATCTCTCCCAACGAAACATGTTCATCATTTACAAACTCCTGCCCAATACATAAATTACTTTTTCCTATGAGATTCTGAATCGGACTAGTGGACAACTGTCAATGTTTAACAACCACAATTTAGCACATGTTATAGAAAACTTAAGCCAATACAATTATACAACATACATAACACATACCTGGATAGCAACAACATCATTCGACACCACTTGAGTTTCCGGTATACTTTCAACGTTGAGTAATCATATGAGGGCATCAACCATGGAGTAGGATGAAAGAAACTGTTCATTTCTCGCTTTACTGATGATCATTTTCCTAAAAAGTAGCATAACACATTAATAATCAAGTCGATATTATTATAAACTTCAAATATGTTTCAAAAACAAATATATCGTAAAATAGGTGTATAGCTCATACCAATTCTTTGTTTTCGTAATTTTTTATTTTTAACCCACGTATAATTTATTTCAACTTCGATGCTTTCTTCTACATGGAGGACGACCTTTGCTGAACTACCTATGGACTAATAATTAGACTATTCCCTCTTTCGGAGGACCGTCCCCATCTTACTACTCAAACCAGTTTGTGAAGAGATGTTACTTTCTACCAAGCCCTCTCTCACTTTCTTTTTGCTCCAACTTTTTTCTCGTGTCAATTATAAATCCATCAACATATTATAATCTTCTCATTGTTTGATGCATGTCATATCAGTTATTGTTAGCATTATATTAGACAACTATCAAAACGTTTTCTTTCAATGTTGGTGATCCACCCTATTATAACTTACCTTAATTTTTGTATGGCATCTATTTATATTTTCCTCCACCGCCATAAAATGTACTTTTTTGGAACGTGTGAAACCCTTTTATGAATCAACCACATATGACATGTCTGCATAAAATCCCTTTGAACTCAAACAAATGACAAGTACAACAATATCACACGAATTTTCTTCAAAGTATACCCACAAAGGGAACACGACGACTACTATCTTCGAACCTAACATCTCTAAAACTTAATACTCCTCGTATGACACAGTTTTTCAGAAAGATAATTCACATAAATCTTCTGCGCAATCTCTTCTTGAACCTCTTTAAACTTTGCAGTTGTGTATACACTTTGAAATTGTTTCTCAAGGGTAATTAGTTAGGTATGGTATCTAAGATTTAAAAGATCTAAAATCAGCTCCCTTTCTTTTCCACTTATCTCGCAATGCATTATCATATGTTCCATAAATTGTTTCAAGTAGTTTTGGAATTTACATATCCATAAAAAATGCATGCATACTTTCACTACGTTGGATAGTAAGCATACCTATCAAGAAAATACTTTAAGAAATGTAGGCACCCACCACACTCTTTCTTTGTTACAATCCATATAACCATTCTTCTCGTGAAGGTTGTGCACATCACAAATTGGTTTCACCGTTCTTCGAACTCTTCATGCGTAAAAGAATCATACACAATATTTTGCAACTTAAACTTTATAGTTTCATATTCTTTACCCTCTAACTTTTCAGGCAGTTTTTTCATTATCACACAAACACCACCTATGTGTACCAAGGAAAGCAATCTCAATTGCATTTTGCATGGCCTTATCTTGATCAGTGATAATTCCACTAGGAGCAACATCTATGCATTCAAGCTAAGAACGAAATAGCAACAAATGTCTTAGTGTCCTCATGGAAATTAACCCACAACATAACAATGTCGAAGTTCATAATGATCAACCCCCACAAAAGCAGCAAATGGACATACAACTGTTTTTCAGAATACGTTATATCGAGGTGACAATATCACCAATTCTTTATATGCGGCCCTACATCTAGCATCAACCCATACATTCTGTAATTGACTCTCTTCATCTACATCAATCATGTACCAGAAATTTGAATTCTCCTTTGCATTTTCATAAAATACTCAAGTACTGCCAAAGCATCTCCATGCCAAGTCGTAGCCTTCTCACTTTTTCAATGTAGTTCCTACAATTTTTTGTAAAAACGTCAATTTCTTTATACCTCCTGTCTCAACTGAACACTGACTGAAATTTTTATATAGTCATCTTAGCCACTCATTAACTCAAGCCTCCTTTTCATATAAGGTTGCACTCGTTCGGTTACCTTGAATATCTTCTTTTGTCACTTGTAAGATCATGGTTTGTTCAAGTACAGCTTATTTAATTTCCCATTGCATTGATCATTCAAAGTTGCACTAATCCGACTCTTACAATCTTTTTGCAATAGGTTCTTTTTCAAGATATTTCTGGATTTACTCCTTCCTTCCCAAAACAGAATACACTTGTCACATATCTCATCTCTTTATCAATCGCTTCTTTGACGTAGATCATTGTTTCAAAACCCATTTGTTACCATATTGTTTGTAATACTTCACCAGACTATCAACTGAATCAACACCATCCAATTGAGGCTCCACATCTTCCTCTGCACATCCCATATCTTCTAATTCTCACATTCATTTTCTTGATCATTTAATAGTTTTATAATAGACAAAATTAAAATGTACTAATACAACACTCATAAGAAACAATACGATACAACAAATTTAAAATCATGTTAATGAAAAAATTAAGGCTTCGAATACATTACCTCAACATCATTGAAATGAGGCAAAATGGATTCTTCTATATCTGTAATTTCATGCAAAACCAACTAGTGTTCGCGTTCACGAATTGATT